TTGCAGAAAAGGATATAGGTAGAGACACAGAGACTCAATCTGGGAACTATTTTGGGATTTTAGAGATTTTAGGGATTCGCGGGGCTTATCGATATTTTTGGTTATAGATACTTTTATGAATTTTGTTATCGATATTTTTTATCGATTTTTTGTGATTTTTTATCGAATTTGTTATCGATATTTTTTAACCATTTTGTTATCGATATTTTTATCTATTTTGTTATCGATATTTTAATCGATACTTTTATCGATTTTGTAATCGATTTTATTACTAACATTATTATCGATTTCGCTATCGAAATTTTTATCGAATTCGTCATCGATTTTGTTGTCGATTGGTTATCGATTTTGGTATCGACTTTGGAAAGGATTATTTATCGATCTTGTCATCGATAATTTATCGATATTTTTGTCGTTTATTTATCGGTATTGTTACCGATTATTTATTGATTTTGTTATCGAATATTTATCAATTTTGTTATGGATATTTTTATCGATATTTTTTATGGATTTTTTTCTTATGGATTATTTGTCAAATTTTGTTATGGATATTTTTATCGATTTTCTAATAGATTTCGCTACCAATATTATTATTGATTTCGATATCGAAATTTTTATCGAATTTGTCATCAATTTTGTTATCGATATTTTGTTGGATGTTACAATCGATAGAGTATAAAGGTAAAAATGAAGATAAAGAAAAACAACAGTTTCCGCATTTTCACCTTTTGATCCATCTGAAAACACAAAATCTCTACGTTAGTGTGTTGCCATCGTATCAAAACTCGGAAATTTATGAGTTATGAGAAATGATAATTTCTAATTTTATCAGTTGGTTACAATAAGTTGTTTTGGTCAGTTGGGAGAATTATATTTGTCTAGTCAAAATTGCACAATATTTTACAGCGGAAGCTCACTCTTCGGAAACCTCGTATGCCATAAAGCCCTAGATCTGAAAAATACTGGAATCGAAAAATAAACTAACCTATCACAAAACCTTGAACTCAGCAAGGAAACCATACAGCAAAACACTTAATCGTAAAAATAGCGTCCCCAATAAAATTTTCGTACTGTCGCGCTAATCTTATCAGCAAACGATTGTCAAAAAATAATTAATGCTAATTTAAGTTGAGCAGGATTGTGTTTAGGAAGCGTTGTATTGCTTCACTAAAACAGCAACCGTTACAAATGCGTACAAAGTCAACCGCGAAATTTTTTATTGAACCATAATTTATAGCTTTATGATGACTTGCCACATGCGTGGTGGTTAATTGCATTTTTTATATGTAAATATGGAAGTCGATAGCAGAGGAAACTATCTATCATTCCGCGAAGTGTTATTGCGGTGAGTAATTTGTATTTAATCGCAATAAAATCCATAAATGATAATTATCAATTATAATTGATGATACAAAAAAAAAAAAAAAAAAAAATAGACGATAAGCGAAAAATGAAATGAGAAAGCAACAAAGCGCGCATAGCATAAAGGAAGTCCGGTGCAAAACGGCTGCACACCGAACTGGCCCGGCGCACGCCTGATGACAATTAAGCAGAAATATAATTTTGGCAGAAATTAAGTGTCGATATAAAGCGGAAAAAGAGTACATACAGTTGCGGGCAAATAAATGGGAACACAATATTTTAACAAATTTTCGGATATTTTTCATTTGTTTATTTAATGTTTATTATTTCTTTTATAAATGTATAAAAGTATAGCTCACTATGTAACAAAACCCATGTACTAAGTCCAAATTTCAAACATTGTACAAGATTTATAAAAGTAAGGCGATTTCAACAAGTGGTTATCAAAATTTCAAACTTTATATTTAGAATTAAAAAAAAAATCTAAGTATGCAATTTTGTTTAAAGTTTTGTTCCTCCACATACAAAAATTGTTGAATAAAATACACGCGCGAAAAAAGGTTAAAATTTTATGATTTTTGTAAATGGGGAAACAAGAATACCCATATTTGCTTGTTAAAAAAATATATTTAGAACTGAAATTTTCCATGTATTTTATATGGGAGTGAAAACACGTTTTCTTCGAAAATCAATATTTTCGATCGAGAAACTCTGTTTCTCTTAAGGAGATTTCCAAAAACAAAACCCAAGTTTTTATTTAATCATTTCTTAATATGAGCTATTTTTTATAGGTTCACAAAAACCCCAAAAATGCAATGGCGGACTCATAAAAAGTCGTTAGTATTAAAAAATGGTAAAATAAACAATTGGGTATTATTACTGGAAGTCTCCTGTGGAGATGTAGAGCTCTCCGATCGAAAAACTGTTTTTTCATACTTAAAAAAAAATCCTAGGGGTGATAGATTAACATTTTAAACTTTTTTCGACCATCTTAATGTACATACATAAATACATAAGTACATACATACATACTTTGTATAAAAAAATGCGTGACACCGTAAAAAAATTGCAAAAATTGGCGGTAAGTCCTAGCTATTTCAAAGCTGTACTTAATTATACGTTTTTAAATTCTGAATAAAAAGTTTGAAAATTTGATGAATTCTTCTCGTTTTCGCACAAAGTTTGAAATTCGTACTTACAAACACAGTTTTGGTTAGATTTCGTTAGTATGCTAAACTTTTACAAAAAAAAACTTGTGTATTGATCCCACGCGCGACTGACGATTACTTTATTATTCATCTTAATCTTAATCAAAATCTTAGTTTTAATCTTAATTTTAATCTCATTCTTAATATTAATCCTAGTCTTAATCTTAGCCTTCATCTTAATCTTAATCTTAGTCTTAATCATAATCTTAATCCTAATCTTGATTTTAATCTTAATCTTAATCCTAATTTAAATCTTAATTTTATTTTAATTTCACTTTTAGTTTTAACCCAATCTTAGTCCTTTTCATAATATTAATACTTATCTTAATCTTAATCTAATGCTTAATCCTAATCTTAATCTTAATATTAATCGTAATCTGAATCTTTGTCTAAATCTTATTCCTAATTGTAATCTCATTCTTATTTTAATACTACTATAAGTCTTAACCCTAATCTTAATCTCAATCTCAAAGGGAATCTTAATCTTAGCATTGATTTTAATCTTAAGCTTCATCTTAACCTTAACCTTAATTTTAATCGTAACCTTAATCTTAATCTTAATCTAAATCTTAGTCTTTACCTTAATCTTTATTTCATTCATAGTCTTAATCTCAACCTTAATCTTAATCTTAATCATAATCTTAATCTTGATTTTAATTTTAATCCGTATGTTAATCTTAATATTATTTTAATCACACTCTTAGTCTTAATCCTAATATTAAACCCAATTTTAATCTTAGTCTTTGTCATAACAATATTACTCCTCTTTATCTTCATTTTAACCATAATCTTAATCTTGATTTTAACCATAATCTTAATCTTAATTTCAATCTCACTTAACCTTAATCTTAATCTTAACCATAGTCTTAAAGTCAACCTTAATTCCAATCCAATGTTAATCATAATATTAATATTAATTCTTATTTTAATCTCAATCTTGTTTTATTCTCACTCTTAATCTTAATCTCAGTCTTAATCCTAATCTTAAACTCAATCTTTATCTCTACCTCAATCCCAATCTAGCCTCAATCTGAATATGACTCTGAATCTCAATTTTAATCTTAATCGTGCCCACCCCCACCGGGCCCCCCCTCTCTTCTACTGTCGCTTTTTCGTTTGGAATTAGAGCCCAGTGATCGTGTCGTGAGCGCAAAGAAGTTTCACTTCAAAAATTATTAAAAATAAAAATAAAAAAATTCAAGGAAACATAACCATAACTTGTTAAAATCTTGCGTCCCTATTTATTTCACCGCCACTGTACATGCATGTGTGTTTGCGTGTGCGAGCAACTGTTGAACGCTTGCGAGACACACAAATTACAATCTACATACAAACAAATGCATGGAAATTCATATACATATGTAGGCTGGCTGCTTTTGGCAAAATGATGGGAAAAATCAAAAAATTAACGATGCAAATTTGCTGCCGCCATAGTACCACGTGTTGCATGGCGCATACATATGAATGTAGTACATACAACTGCATACACATACATACATATGTACGTGGCCGCGCTCACAAAGCGACCAAATGTTGCTCATACGCCACCGCCATACAGGCGCGTACACACAGCCACACCACGCCTCGTTGACCACGCGAGACATTGTGCTCAGTCAGGCTGTTGCATGCCACCACAACGCTTACGAGCTAGTCCCGCTCTTCTGTTTGTTTAACTTCCCTTTTGCCTGCTTTGTGTGTCATGATGGCTGTCGTTTTGTTCTTCTGTCTGTTTGTGGCTAAATATGTTCTGTCACTGCGCACAATCTCGTTTCCGTTTCGTTGATTCGTATAGGGCTCGTGTGTGTGCGCTCACCTGTGGCAAAAGTAAGGGCACATTAACATACATATGAATGTGCATACACACACACACACACACACACACAAATACACGTAACTTGGCATACTCGCTCGTTAGCTCGTTCACAATCGGCGCGGCGCGATAACTCTCCACTTCCGTTTTGATGTGCCTACGTAGAATTTTCGAAATAGTAACTGTTGCCGCCAAAAAAAACAAATTGCCGCTAACCCGCCGAATGAATATCGTTGCTGGTGTAAAACTTAATGAGCACAATTCTGCGCGCACACATACATATACATAAATAGATGTTCACACGCCGACACACAGTTACAGTTCTACACAAAGCAACACAGTTATTCACACATTGGTCCGAGCGACAACTCGTCGTGTTTGCTTTTGTTACCTGCTGGCCACTGCTTCAGCTGCTACTCCACTTGTGAAGTTCGTGGTTCGTGTGCGCTACTTTGGCGTTGCTAAATCGTGTGTTGCCTTGTGTTGCTGCCGCTGTCGCTGCTGCTGCTTCTGCTGCTGCTGCTGTTGCTGCTTGTCGTCGTCGTCGTCGTCGTCGTCGTCATCGTGCACTACTATAAATCCCGCCAACTGTGCCGACTTGCTTTCACTGTTCATTCAGATTTATAGCAGTGCACTCTGCCAACAGCAGCAATAACAGCAGCGCGCAACCAGTGCTTAAGCACTTGACAAAGTTCAAATACTTTTATTTGTTTGGCAAACAGTTGTATTTTGAAATTGATAGTGTTGTTTTTTGAATTAAGCGGCACTTTGTGTGAAAACTGTAAAAGCGCGGAAAGACTAGTGGTTGGCAGCAAAAGTTGTGAATAAAGTTATTTGGAGAAGACAAACGCTTTGAAACACAAGTGTTGGAAAAACAAATAAAACTGTGTGAAGTTTGCGAATTTCAAGTGTAACAGACGCTATTCGAGTGACACTCAGCAAGTTTTACGACACACACACACACACACACACAAGGGTGAGTTTTGAGGCATACAAAATTGCAATTTCAGAAAATTATTAAGAAAAGTTTAAAATTTAAATTAAAAAGATACACAAATTACATTTTAGGAAAAAATCTCAAGTATTGAAATTGCAGAAAAAAATTGCGAAACATGGAAATTAAATTTTGAATCGTAGCTAACGCATGTGTATTCGGTTTACCAAGATCAGGACGCTTGATATTTTAATTTTTATGAAAAAATCAAACTTTAACAGGGGAAAAAATAAAAAAAAATTAGGCACACGCGTTATTCATTTAGAGATTTTTAGCAATGGAAATTTTAGGGTAGCGATTTCTAGAATCCCACCTAATTAAGTTTACCTGTCTCAGCGTTTTTTTTTTTTTAATGTAATTTTAGCGTTCCTACAGTGTTATTTAAAGTACCCGTAAAGAGTTTGAATAGGCAAAGATTTAAAGTAGGGATGTTGCGAATGTGAAATTTTAGACATCCGCGGATGCGGATGCGAATGCGGATATCAAATACTTTTAAGAAATAATTTTAGTGAGTAGGTAAATAAAAAATGGAAAAGTTGGTAATTTTTAATAATGTTTTCTTTTTTATTTTTTATTTAGTACTTACATTAGAAAATTGGAATATTGTATTTAAGAAAGAGTAATTTTTCTGCCTTTCGGGTTACAGCCTGTTACGTAACGGGTCGCTCGAGGTGACAAACTTGAAAAACAAAATTAAAAATTCTTTTCGATTGACGCTTCACCAGTTGAGAGGACCTTCAGTTATATTTCTTTTTTGTTTTTTATTGCGGTGCAATGATTCCCTTTTGAGAATTGCATCGGGGCTGCAAATGTCGGATGTATCCTCCTGACTTTCTTCTTCACAATCTAGCATAATGGCAAGATCGTTGCTTAAACACCGTTGTGTTGCAATTTGGAGAACCAATTCTTTTGGTTATTTCAGAATTTGGAGAACTTGTTACGTCATCAGTGATTTTCGATTTTAGTTTTTGTAATTAATTTTTAATAGGTGTAAATAGGTGGATATGGCAAATAAATTGTTATTTTCTAGGAATGGAAATTTCGAAAAAAAAAATCTGTTTTGAAAGTCGTGGCTGCCAGCAGAATTAGTTTAAAATCTTGTTATTTTGTTAAAAAGGTACCCCGTTTTTTATAATGATTTGAATTATGGAATCACGGACGATAAAGGTCTCAGATTTGCTTAGTTCCCGGATGACTTCTTCGAAAGAGTTGCAATGAATAGCTTGTAGTTAGTTTCGGCTTTTCCTAGTTGCAGGCAGTCAAAATTAATTACTCATCGCTGTCGGTACCATAAGCCATCAAATGCGTTTTGTTGTTTCATTCCTTTCCATACTATACAAATGATACATATATTACATGCCAAGTCCCACTCCTTAATAGATGTTAAATTCTCCTTGAATTAATTCTTATTTAATTTGTGAACTTGGCTGTCAACTTATTTACTTATATCATTTTATCGTTATTTCGATGAGTGCTAATTTTGACAAATTATACAAAATTAAAATAAATGTTTTTGTTTTCAAGCTGAAAGACTAATAAAAGAAAACACGGAACTTAAGAATAATAAGTTTTATGAGAAAACAATAAAAAATTATACTTTTCTAAAAAAAAGTAGAACAAAAAACTAGCGATACATCTTGTTTTTTTCAACAGACCTTTGACAAATAATATTCGATAGTTGCATAATTCTTAACTAATTAAAGGTAATCTTTTAACGCGCAAATAGTCGTATAGCCAGCCGTTGAACATTTCATCGCAATGTAAAGTCAAAGAGTTAGATAATAGTAGGTAGGGGGGACAGCCTTAACGTAGCATCTCCACAGGCAAAAAATGTTGGCTAAAATTTTTTGTTTGCCAGATATACGTTTTAACAGTGCACTTGCACAATATTCGCATTCGCAAAAGCTCCGCATTGATTATTGCGAATGCGAATGTTAAAATTGATGCGGAAGTTCCGCGGTTGCGAATGCGAATGCTAATATTCGCAACAACCCTGATTTAAAACTACAGCTATACATACATATATGTGAGATGATGAAAAAGTGGAATTTACACAAATATCCAATTATTATTATTTATTTCAATGTAGATGTACAGCAAGATGATGGTTTCATTTACATTGATTTAAAGGAAACATAAAGCTTGAGTCACCTATTTGAGTGGTACGCACATTTATTTAGAGAGTTACAAGATGAGATTGCTTTTAGCTATTTTTATTTCATTATGCGCCTTCATTGTCGCTGTCGTGCAGTAGATAAAACATGAATCCTTTATTTGGTTAATAGTGCAGGGTAGGCAGTATTTAACGGCATAACATTTGTGTCAAATACAGTGAAATCTCCCATAAGCGGACACCGATGGATACCTACTTTTTGCCCGCCTATGACAGATGTCCGCTTATGGGTATTTCGGAAAAAAAATTAGTTAAATACAAATTAAAAAAAAAAATTGAAATCGAGAGTCTCTAAATTAAAACAGTATTTATTCTTTAATAGACAGAAAACGACTGTCTTTATAACAGTTTGATTTCCATTCTTTATTGGAAATTATTAGTAGTCTAAATATTAATACAAAAATGTGCGTGTATAACTTGCTATCTTATACTGTATTTTCGATGGCAGAAAAATTACTGTCCGTGAAAATTATAAATCTGCATGATCGTGAGTATAAAGTAAACAAAAAATAACTCCGTTTTTTATATTTCATTTTACTTTCTCTAAGAATATCAAATGTTACATTTTTATAGCGGCAATTTTTAACAAAAGCAAATTATCACACAGCACAGTCTATGATTTGTTTTTTTTTTCAGGAAAAACGAAAATTTTGAAATTTACCGCTATATGGGAAGTGGGCTTGCTTAATGTCCGATTTCAAAAATTTTCAACGAGTTTCTTAGTGAAACCCTAAGCAATATTCGTAATAAGTTTTATGGTGGTTAGTAAAGCGGCTACTGAGATTTGGGCATTTCATCATGAGTGGGTGGTGCAACTGCCATTTTTCAAAAATTTCATAATTGCCTACTTCACATTCCAACTTTCAAAAATTGGATCTAGTATTTGCGGAAGTATCATAGTTTTTGCAATAACCCTTATATGGGAGATAAGGGTAGTTATTGTCCGACTTCGCCCATTTTTAGTATCGTCTTTCCTTCGTTAAAGAGCAACCTAAGGTACATACATATGTACATACGAAGCTTCGTTGAGATATCTCATGGTTCATAAGGAGAATGAGCGTATGATCGAGTTGACGGAGACGTGAAATAATTAGTGAGAGAAAAAATGATAAGCCAAGATGACAATTATGTCATCCAATCAGGCAAAGAATTCACTAATCCGTGTTATTTATCATCCGGCCACGAAAAATCTCAGAAAATGCAAGCTGTTTTGCAATGACCGAACGCTGAACGGATACTAGGTTCGAGGTTCGAACTTTCATCACATTAAAGCTGTCCGAAAAAAGGTGGAATGCAGAATCTAATATCAAATAACTACTTATGTGAACTTTGTCACACGCGTGAGGTGATTTGTTTGTAAGTACGTGGCCACTTCTTAAAAATATAGAATAAAATAAGAACGTGATTTTTTGTTGTTTTGCTTCTACTACTTGTGTGGTCCTTGTTTAAAATAGTTCCGCTGAAATTTGAATGTAAATTTAACATTTTTCCGGTCATATTCAACCTTCTTCAAGTCAAAGGAAAACTTCTTCAAATCATATGAAACCCTTTACAATTCAAATGAAAACTTTTTCAAGCCAAATAAAACCCTTTTTCCATTTTTCCTATCGTCCCTTTTCTTCCTTACTTCTGGCAAGCTCATGAAAAGCGATCATCTGTGTTGCATTTGTAAACAAAAATAGATAAATAAATTTACATTTGCTAAAAATATGGAAGTAAACAACGAAAAATTTGATGATGTAAGCAACTAATTCTTAATTGAATAGATCTTAACAAGTGTTTAATGATCTTTCATCAAAATTAACGTGATACAAACGATAGGTAGACAAATCGACTGACGTTTTTCAAAAGACAAACTGGCGGATCCATGATGGAGGACGATTTTTTTAATTCAACATTTTTTTTTGCTCGAAACTTGATACTCTGGGAGATTACGGGGTTGCTGGACTCAAATGTGGTATCAAACTTTAAAATTTCAAAATGGCTGACCCAAGGTGGAAGACGATTTTTTTTTAAATTCAAATGACGAAGCGCGGAATCGCCCATTACCTATATACCCTTGTGGTCAGCTGATTAAATTAAGTGACATTTTGACCAGTTTTGGGTTTTTCTTTTGTTTATTTAATACTTATAGTTTTTTTTTTTTTCATAAAAGTCTAGTGCACAGTCTAGCAGATCCACATTTCAAAGTTCGTACAAAAATTATAAAAATTCAGCAAACTAACAATTACAGCCACAAATTTTAAACTGTTTTTTATTTAGAATTTTTGAAAACTTATAGATATGTAGTTTTATGACCCATTAAATTGAAGTATGTAAATGTGAAAATTTCAAGACGCTAAGAAATCGCGTTGATTTTTAATAAGTTTTTTTTTTTGGCTGACGGTGCTAGGCATTTTCTTCTATATAAAAAATAAAATTATAGTTTAAAAAACTAAAACCTCCCTATTATAATTGCCATTCGTACTGTCATCAGGTATGTAACTTGAGAATAGAAATCGCTGCATCTTTTAGGCGCATCAATATTACATAGTTACATCCCGAGCTAATAAAAGGAAGGTAATAATAATAATAAACTAGTAATTTAAAAAAAAAAAAAACCGACTTCAACTCTCATATAAAAAAAAAAAATATATATATATATCTCATGATCCGCTGATCGGATCTTAACCAGATTAGTATGGGACCACCTCTGAGACACTACCTTTCCGATGCAAATAGAATTATCGAAATCGGTTGACGTGGTCCAAAGTTATGCGGTAACATACATAAAAAAAAAAAAAAAAAATATTCCGACGAACTGATAACT